CTCAATCTAAGGCGGTGGTTTGGGATGAACAGAAATGTCCACCCCAATATTTCGCTTGGAATGGGGCTGGACATAACAGATCACCTCGTGATGTAATACAAAGGCCAAGGCATAAGCGCATTTGCGGCGCCGAGGCCAAAAGGAGAAAGAGAGCGAAGGAGGCAGGACTGGCAGCAGCTATAAGTGCACCCTTCTCCTCCCCCACTCCACCTCCAACAGCAAGGACACTTCCTGCGGCGGGCGCCAAGAGCTTCGCCTTGAATACAGGCAAGGAACCGGCTGCCCCTGCAGGAAGGCTCCGTCACTTGTGCACCTCCACGGAGGGAACACCAAGAAGGTTGAAGAAGCCGCGCAAGGACAGTAATGTTGCTGCATCTTCCAAAACCTTCGCGGAGGTCACCGTGAGACACCTCAAGGTTGCCAAAGAGAGTGTGTTTTCGGCGAGTTTTGGCCTACACCTGCCAATATAAAGGAGATGTCTGTCCACCCTCCTAGAAAGGACAGGATGGACGATGACCTAGGAGAACAACTCCAGGGGAGGATGTACAATGGGTCACATGTGGTCTAAGTTCTGTGGGTCTACGCTCACCCCCCCCTACTCTAAAGATACATAACTCATCTGAATATTTCAATATTTTGGTCCTATTATTATTTCGATTATTCAGTCTGTTTACACTGTCGATCTGTTTCAATTTCCACTGCGAATTGGTGAGCAAATTGAGGAAAAAATGATTCCTGTTTCTGTTCAGTAAAATTAGTTCGATTACTTACCACCGGAAATATGCATTTTCCAATTGAAGACGTAATTCCGGAAGACCCGGTATATCATAAACACCTGCATGTAAGTTATTGACATCTAACGGATCACATAATCAATAAAATATTTATACTTTCAGTTCATCAACGTCATATTTCTTATAGTTACGGTTTCTGTATAATCTTATGCAAGCAACAACGCTGTTTCATCTAGCTGTCGATAGATGGTAGGGCATGTAATAAATTGTGGCAGTCTAATAAGATCAATAGAGTTTGTCAACTACATACTACAAAATAATGACAATTTATGTTACATCTCAGGAAAGTACTAAAAACTAAATTAATAAGAAGTCTTTGAAAATAATTTCGTGCTTTCTACTCATTTTCATTAAAGCACTCACCATTGTTGGTTATTTCCAACATTAAATTTTGCACTCTCAGTACTTGGCACTGGCAATAACACTGCCGCAAAGTGAATTGCATTTCAGTAAATGGCGCAATGGCGTCAAATTCGAGTGAGCAAGGAAACAAAAGAGATTACTTATTGATTCTAAACTTTGCGTTGCGACTTATGTGGAAGTTCATAATCAAAATTTCGACATGAGTAGTAGGGATGTGAACTATTTTTGAGAAGGTGTTGAAAATCAGGTATATGTACTAAAATTGTCCAAAATATTTTTAATACTTTTTTAACGCAACGATTACTTGAAAAATCATGTAAGTATGTAAAATATTAATAATTGTGTCGTGATCGTTGTGACGTCAGATGTTCCCAAATACTGAAAAAGTTAATGCGATATAGTTTCTTCGTGATTTTTTAAATGAAAGATGAGTTGCGAATTTCTGAATGCTAACTTGTATAATAAAATGGCAAATTTCAGTTCAGTCATTGTTCAAACCATTTGTTAATTCATTTCAGGTTACAATAAATTTATTTTATTTACAAATCAGCTTACTTGTACCTTTGAATTTCTTAATTATTGTAGTTTTTCCCATTTTAAGCTGGACAGAAGTGCTCACCTCAATCTAAGGCGGTGGTTTGGGATGAACAGAAATGTCCACCCCAATCTTTCGCTTGGAATGAGGCTGGACATAGCAGATCACCTCGTGATGTAATACAAAGGCCAAGGCATAATCGCATTTGCGGCGCCGAGGCCAAAAGGAGAAAGAGAGCGAAGGAGGCAGGACTGGCAGCAACTATAAGTGCACCCTTCTCCTCCCCCACTCCACCTCCAACAGCAGGGACACTTCCTGCGGCGGGCGCCAAGTGCTTTTCGCCTTGAATACAGGCAAGGAACCGGCTGCCCCTGCAGGAAGGCTCCGTCACTTGTGCACCTCCACGGAGGGAACACCAAGAAGGTTGAAGGAGCCGCGCAACGACAGTAATGTTGCTGCATCTTCCAAAACCTTCGCGGAGGTCACCGTGAGACATCTCAAGGTTGCCAAAGAGAATGTGTTTTCGGCGAGTTTTGGCCTACACCTGCCAATATAAAGGAGATGTCTCCNGAGACAACATCATGACTCCATCGAAAAATTTGGTTTAATGAACACTAGTAGAACTCATAACATCATGAGTTTGCACAAATACTTCAGTCAAAATGTCCTCATTCTCAAATAAAGAAAAACGAGATATGTTGAAACTTTATTATAAGTTTGATAGAAATAGTATGAAAATAGCACAAATTCATTTTGAATTATATCCGGAAAGACAACAGACGGATAGAATATTATTTGGAATTTTGGACAAACACTTAGCTGAGTACGGTGCATTTCAAAAACCAAGAATGAAGTATGGAAACAGAATGGAACAGAGGTAAAATAATTGTTCTTTCCATATTCGACAAAGTATTATTTTTGCTTTGTTTTAGATAAATGCAGATCCTTCTAAATCAATGCATCAAGTCTCGGAAGAAATAGATGTGTCACAGTCGAGCGTTTGGAGGGAATTAATGAAAAGTTGTTTGAAATATTATAAAAATCACACGTTGAAAGGTAAGACCTCTTTAGTCCTTAGCTCGCACAAGTTTCTCAACTTCTGAGAGTTGTCGTTCATATGGAGGCGACGGCTGATTAACGGAAAAACAGATTTTAAACAGATTTTTATCATCCAGGTGATCCTGAGAGAAGGATGGAATTTTGTAGCTGGCTCTCGAATAGGATAGAAAGAGATTATTTGGACCGACGAAAGTACTTTTTCAAACTGTGGTGTTTTTAATAAAAATAATGAGCACATTTGGAGTAAAAATAATCCACGGCACTTCAGAGAAGTCAGACGACAAGTTCGGTTTCGTTTAAATATGTGGGCTGGAATTTATAACGACCGAATACTTGGACATCATTTCTTATCTAATACTTTAAACGGGGAAACCTCTTGGGTTGATAAGAATCGAATTCAAAGAATATATCGATACGTTTCCACTCTTCCACACAATAAAAGAGCAGTTTGCGAATTTTTACACCAAAGATTTCCTAATAGATGGTTACAAAGCCTTCCTTTCCTAAAGACACTTGCCTTATTGCCTCTTCAGCACCAATCTGCATAACATAAGATGAAGCGCTCAATTCATTCACAAAATCATGAATTTATGTTACGAATGAGTTGAATCTACTCATGTCATCGATGACAGATCGTAATGACATTAGCTTATTTGATCAAATCCCAGCTTGTATCTCTCCTCGATACAGTCTCCAGACAAATATAACTTTACTATAGATTTTCAATATTTCGGGTACAATCTCGGGTACAGGTGACAGGAACTAACCAACAACCACATGTGTAGAATGAGCCTCAATAAAATAAGTAATAATTTTTTTTATGTGATGGAAAAAAAAGTTTGACATTTTATCTCTGATGACAGGTAACAAAATATCACTTTTCATGAAATTACTTTGTAAGGGTAGAAATTTTATTTCAGAATATTTTCTTATACAAAAGTTACCTTTTTTTTGTGACTGTAAAAAAGTTTGATATTTTATGTCTGATGACAGGTAAAAAATGTCACTTTTTATGAAATTCCTTTTTTCCCCGTGAAAAAAGTGAGTGCATGAGTAAACGTAGAAATTTAATTTTTCAATATTAAATCGTCGTTTTTCCCGTCACAGAAAAAAATTGTGCATTATACACGGGAAAAATATTATATTTTAGCTCTCGGTTTTTTGTCTTGTATAATAAATAACTATAAATACAGTTTGATTGGAGTCATAAAAATAATAAAACAAAGAACATAAAAATGCTAACTCTAAGTGAACGAAGCGCCGCATGAAAAATTAAATAAGTGCATATTGTATGTAGCCTTAATGAATATCAATCATATACATCCATACATTTTTGTCATATTTTGTAAAATAAAGATACCAGATCAGAAGAATCGAAATCAACGATTTCAATTTTTTTCGATTATTTCGAGAGCGGCTAACATGCTCATTTTTGAAAATAATTGAATGCGCATAAATTTATTGAACTTTCAATTAGAAAAAAAAACTTCACTTTGAATGTAACAAATATTTTCCTGAAACTTTTAAAGGCAGTTCTCGTCATTCTGATTACACTTTTAGATCATTTTCAGGGCAGAATTTCAAATAGCCAGCCATATTTTGCATTTTGAGGAATAGCAGCGTACTCCAATTTTTTTTATTTGAAGTTACTTTAAAAAATATGATCGGCAACGAAACATATTTTTTTGTAAATACTATGGTTTGTCTGCCTGCCTGTTCTTCTATCTGTCTGTAGTGGTTATGAGGTGATATTGAATTGAGATTGATTAGATTAGCGGTGGTACAGGTTCCAATAGATTTTCAGAGGAAGCAACATATGGGAAAGTCATTTTTTCGGAAAAGGTCGTCCGAAATCTCCAAAAATATGAGATATCAAAAAATTTTATATGAAGTATTTCGAAGACATCGAAAAATTTTTGAAAAGTTCTGGATTGCTCTGATAGTGCAGGAGATATTGATGGGATATCAGTGTTTTCTGTTATTTCCAAAACGATTGTAAATATCGAACAAAGTCAACAATTTTATTAACCCGGAAATATCTCCATATCTGAACATTTCTTCATGTTTGGGAATAATTTGAGAAATAGTGATTTTATTTATTCGAACTGAAAACATATAAAAATATCTATTTTATCCTCCTATTGGAGATATGAATGAGATGACTATAGTTCAGGAATTATTTCAGAAACCAAAATTAACGGTTTCGGAAAATAAAAACTAAAATTATTGAAAAACTTACCTGCGGAAAATATTTGCTCAGTGTAAAGATATCCATTCCACGTTAGATATTCTCTCAAAAGTTCGTTAATCAGTTTAGTTTCCTCTGGTACTTTGGGAGGGTTGTCTTTACCAAAATTATCGTTTAGGACTGACATAACAGCTGCTCGCAGTTCGCCGCTTATTCTACCAAGGGTACCATTTTTTTGTAGAGAATCTTTAATGGCTGCAAAGAATACTGGTGAAATTGAGAAAAACAAACGTTTCAGATGTATTCTACCTTCTAATAAATCAGTCTCTGTAGGTTCTGTCATTTTTATTTGACTGAGACAAATGATCACTTCCAGTTATAAATTTTAAGTTTGTTTGTATTCGCATTTTGCCTAGTAACGACTATTATGAATCGCGTAGTATAAGCGCAGGCCATTCGTTGAAAGTTCGTCAAGGCAGTGCAGTACCAAATTTTGTTTTTCAGGGAATTTATTTAAAGGAGGCTTGAAGTTTCTGCAAGGCTGTAAGCAGAAATTTCGAAGAAAAAGTTTTGATCACCTCAAACACAGTTCATTTATATGAATAGAAGATAGTATCAACCATAATTTATAGTTGTTTTCCTTGGTCATTGGCTAGACAAAGACTTCAGATTCATAATGCCTGCAGGCATTTATTATAAAAAAATATAATATTGAAGCTTTGNTTGTGGCGAAGTTGTGTATTTCAGAGACCTATTCAATGATTTAATAAAAATTAATATAGCTCGTTTGGTTTTAAAGATACACAGGATAAACGAAAAAATCCCAAATTATTTTTTTGCCTATATCTTATTTATTCGCAGACATATTGAAAATCAGCCCACATTTTGCTATTGGCACTTGATGTGGGCTATCAGAATATGTCCATGAATCTTTAATACAGGGTGTCATCTAACTTGGGCCACCCCCATCTTTGAATTTTCAAATATGAACCTGTATTTTTTGTTGAAGTTTTTGTTTCGTCGACGTTCATTTCATACTGAGAAATCAAATTCAATTTTATATTTGGGGATGTTTCGGTAATATTCGATTATAATTGTGTGAATTATTCCCTTTTAAATTACGGCCCTGGAAATTGGTTAACTGAGTTAAATAAAAACACAGTAACAACTTTCACGTCTCCCTATGTACCGTTGAGTTTTTCGAAAGTTTTTTTTTCATTTTTAGGTAGGTACCTATTCGACTTGGAGTCCATCCATGTCGAGACATTTTTGTACTCGGTTATTGCCCTGAATACACTTATTTGCTGCATGAAATCATTCAAAATCCTCAATCTCGAGTCTTCCATATTTTCCATCTCTCTGCCAGCGTAAATCCTATTTTTGAATGTCACCCATAGAAAATAGTCCAAAATAGTGAAATCTGTTGATCTTGCAGGCCATCTTATTGGCCCATTTTATTTGTCTCGAAATGGAAGGACTCCAATTCGAACATTTATTGCCCCATTAATTTTTTGTGTATATAAATTACTTCATTTCAATTTTTATTTCGATTATAGTGTTCGTTTCGGATGTTATCATTGAAATAATTTCTTTTTCCGCTCATCAATACACATATAATTAATATATTTTGTTGTAGAAATGTTTCAGATAATCATAAAAGGTTTTTAGATTCGAAGTTCAGTGTAGAAAACGTTCAGAGCAATGGAAATATAAAAAAATATGAATAGGTACCTAAAAATAAAAAAAACTCTTAAAACTCTACGGTACATAGGGAGACCTGAAAATTGCTATTGTGTTTTTATGGGCCGTAATTTAAAAGGGAATAATTCACCCAATTATAATCAAATATTACCGAAAAATCCCGAAATATAAAATGAAATTCAATTTTTCAGTATGAAGTGAACGTCTACGATCCAAAAACTACAACAAAAAATACAGGTCCGTATTGAACAATTCAAAGATGGGTGGCCCAAGTCAGATGGTACTCTATATAAAAGATTCATGGACATATTCTGATAGCTCACATCAAGTGCCAATAGCAAAATGTTGACAGATTTTCAATATGTCTGCGAATAAAGAAGATATAGGCAAAGAAATAATTTGATTTTTTGGTTTTTCCCGTATAACTCCAGAACCAAAAGAGCTATATTCGATTTTTTCACATAATTGAATAGGCCTCTGAAATACGCAACTTTGCCACGATTTAACCGATACTCTATCTCTTATCGTTTACGAGAACGCCATGTACAGAAACGAATTTGAATAGCCCTGTATGAATGAAATGAAAATAATGGAATGGTAGAATCATTGATAATTCTAAAAACCCTAAAAATAGTTCAGTTATTATCCTGAAACCAATTGTGAATACTAATAAACTAATTTTTTATTTTCTTGCAACATGCAGCTTGATGATATATTTTATCAGTTCGGAATTCCATTGTCTAATATAATATAAATTGATTTGATTACCAAAAAAATCAAAAAGATTAACCGAAAATAACAATTTTATTAAACAAAAAACTGAAATTACAAAGAAATAACATACAACAACAACCAAACAAATAGAAATTGAAATATTAATAAAAGCTGAAAAAATTAAAAAAATTATTAACAAAAAATGAAAAAATAAGAATTAAAAGATTTCAAACTAAGTTATGTCACAACGTTTCGATTGTTAGCATCCACAATCGTCTTCGGGTGATAACTTGATGATGATGATTTTTTTTTATTGTTTGTATATATTTGACATTTCACTCATTACTAAACCAAATTAATTTTCATGCTCATTGCTTCTTCACTTCTGCTCACTTTTTTCTTGTTTCAACTAGCTCATCTGGCTATTTCGGTCCGATAATTTTTTTACTACTTTCAATTAATGACAATGAAAATCCGAACTGGCTAACCACTTCCAAACACAAACAAAAATCTTCAATGAAATATTCATATCAAGTGACCAGGTAAAATGTAACATATATAATCAGTAATTGAATAGAACTAACCAATACTTGAATAGAACTGGCCGATATTTGATGAATATCCATATTGAAATTAATCAATACAGTTTGTATGATTTCCACTGTAAAGGATTTTACAAAAACTTATGAACGATCAAACTGAATTGAATAATTTGCCATTATTGATTCTGTTCATTTCCAGGTAAAAATAGTTAACACATACGTATGGAGTCAACAACAGGAGCCAACCGCACATTTGTGGTTTCAGATAGAAGACCTAGCATTCCCAGTCAACATCTAACATGACCACATAGGTAGCTATAACTACCTGCGTGACATTTTTCATTTACATCAGCTTAAAACCTGCCAATAATATACACGAAAAAATATAAGGCGGGTATTACTGTGTAGGTGATGCATGAATGAGAGTTAGTATTTTTTATATAATTCCTCTTAGTTAAATTATAAGAATGCACATCCCAAACACTAAATAATGAATTGAAGTATAGCTCTTTTCTACTTGTTACGTACGGTTATAAACGATTTTACATAAGTAAATCCTTTTGAATAAGGTAATAATTCATCCAAAAATCTCACTAAATACTTTGGTATGTGTGCTCTTCAAGGATATATGGATATTTCTCGAAAATGACAATACGAACTTTATCGTCAAAGATTATGTTACAAATATGCGGCTTAGCTTTACGGACGGGTGGGTAGTGAGTTCCACTCACAAAACTACCGCTGTTGTGAATATTTGTTCGATTCCTCTGGGACGCTGCGCTGGTTGTTCACTGTGTACCCCTTGTATCGGATCTTCCTTATGTAGCCTCAAGAGTAAAGTGTTCTTTATGACGTTGATATGGGCCTTTTCCTAAACGGATTCTACATCAGTGACAGATGTAGTCACCTTATTTAGTGTCGAAAACCTAGAAAGTTCATCGGTCTTTATTTACTGTCATTATTTTGGGAGTGGCGTTGTTTCACCTCAAGGTGGGTATACGTCTCATCCAGGTGGTGTAGAATGCTTCCTCATATAAGCTGCACCACATGTTGTCTGTGATTTCCACAACAATTCTTTTTAGGAGAAGGAGCTTTGTTATTTATTCCGAATTCCATACCAATAGCATACGTGTATTCTTACATCACCCAGAGAGCTTTGAAAGCTTCGTGAATAGATTGGATCTGGTCATTGTGCCTAGCAATTCATTCCTACCTAACTGTTGCTCTAATGCTTTCTGGTGGTAAATCATAGATATTTAGTTAGCATTCATTTCATTTGAGATATCAATGGAAATATGAAACGATGACAGGATGAATGCAATATATATTACAACTTCTGTATAAGTTTGATCCTCTAGTAAGAAAAATAAATTACCTATGATATTCATAATACAACATATGTAAACATATCTTCAAGATCTAAAATTTTCAAGCGTAGGTAAACGTTAAAAATAGATTCTATTGAAAATTGTTTCTACTGGACTAATGACTCGGAATTTATTAAACTCTGAACGATTCTTTTAATATACTGCCAATGGTGTCCTCGACGAAAATTATATTGGTTTTGTCACATAGCTCAATTATCACTTCTTGAGGTATCTGGAATGAAAATTTGAGAATCCTCCCATCGAAAACCCAACTGAATATAACAAACTCTGTGTTTGGGATTCTTATTTCAATGACTCTGATGCCTGAAGTCGACTTTATGAGTTTATTTGAGGAGTCAAAAGAAAGCAAGGACGATTGCTTTGACGGAACTTGATTGAAACACCTGAAAAAAAATTCTAAAGGATGACATTTCAGTGAAATTATTCCAGCGTACCTATGGTAACATAATATCGCAGCACAACTCTTTGATAAAACAGTGTCGTCTACTTCTTCGAATTTTTTAATGACGGTAAATTCTTTTTTTCGCTTCTGGCTTTGCAGTCTCTCTGCCAAACTTTCCGGTTCTAATTTTTCTTTGAATTCTATTTTATCTAGAAATGTATTTTTGGTTTCAATAGTATTTCCCATATTTTGATTTGTTGACAAGTCAAATTTAGTAAAAACCTTGTATATGTTGTCAAAACCTCTGCCCATTATTCCATCTTCTGTGTGCCCCAAATCGAATGTGTGGTAAAGTTCGTGAAGAACAGATCCTAACGTTGTAGAGAAGCAGGCACCAATAGTCCCCCTGTAATAAGAGATATTGATCTCAAAAACAGAAATTCAATTTGAATTGCAATGAATGAAAAAGGAAGTTATAATGCAAAATTCATCATCTCTTGGCGATCCTATAATAGTCCATTCGTAATTAACTGAGAGTGAAAAAAATTCAAGAATGCAAACATTTCGGTTCATCGTGGCACTGCAATTCGTCCACGAAGTCACTGAGATATTTCTATCCGCAATGCTCTTTGAGGACACCGCTAAGGAGCCATTAAAATAGTTACTTGCCACAAAGAACTTCAAAAGAGGCGGCCGACACTGTTTATCATGTTGCGTTGAATATAATATTATTATTAGGCGTCGGAGTGGGGGTATTAATATAAAGTTTCCAATGATATATTCTGTATGATGTGAAGATAATTGAAATATCAGGAAAACTAATTTTGTTTAAACATTTCATTTCGAGAAGGACAATGTATATCTGAAATAGTTTTTTATTTAGGGTTGTTACCTTCTACAGGTAATAAAATAATCAGAATATTAGATTTGAAAATAACTACAAATGTAGAAAGGGCAAAAAATTACTGTATTCGATAAATTTGTTTTCTAAAAAAAAAAAATCTAATTTGCCAGTAACTTTAATTTATAAAATTTTGCATATTAAAAAGAATATGTATCATCTGGTGACGTTTTAAAGACTAGTGATTTTTTTTATCCAACCTATTTGAATCAAAACATTATAATTTGTAGTTATAATTCGTCTTTTGATGTAAGTCAATTCGATATTATTATTATTGATACTGATACTATCAAATTGATCGTAGGTTTGATAATGGAGATGTATAAAGTCTTCGAAACGTTACCAGATAAGTATACAAATAGAATAGGTTTCAGCGGTTAGAAATTTGAACATCTGAATTTCGGGTTAAACCGCGCCCAAAGTTTTGCATTGTTCGACGTTTCGGCTTCGACTTTGAAGTAATTTTCAAAAAGTAGAAAAGTGTGGCTGTACTGAGAGACACACTTTGGGGTTTTAATGTTCTAGTTTTGCGAAACCTTCGAGACAGTATGACCCTCATTGACCCAAGTTTCATCCAAATAAAAAATGGATTTACTCAGTGTTCTGGCTTTATTTATTCTTCTTTATAGTAGTTTTTTCTCCATTCTACAAACTCTGATTTTTCTATCAACATGCTCTGTCTATCTTGTCCTCCAAAAGTGATGTACAGCTCATGTAATATCTTTCATTACCTAGTTCTTCTAATATCAGGAAAAAACTGTCTTCACGAATAACTGACAAAACTTCATTTAATGTAGGTATTTCGTTTCATATGTGAAAAAGTGTATTGTTCTCCTAATGGAATTCCTGACGTCTTCGTCGATAACCAAACACTTTCTGCTAGTGGATACTTTCGGCTACAAAAATCTGTTGTTTTCCTTGAGTTCCTTAAGAATTCTGAAAATTGTCGATCTATTGACACCTGTCATACTTGGGCATTTTTGCACTACTTCCTCTTTACCTTATATTTCGGGCGGATGTTATATTCTCAAAGAATTATAAATATTCATAACAATTGTTTTTTCATTTATATTTAATGCTCACACTTTCGGACGCTTCATGGTTCCCGAACAGCTAGCTCCAATGTTGTATAGCTTTTTATTCAACGCGCTCTCGAAGTAACTGAAGAATATCACTAAGATTAAGACTAAGACTAACACCTTTACTATGGCCTTTAAACTCGCAACAAAAAAATAATATAATATTTTCTTCCTATGGGAAAAGCCAAGTCGGTCCTATAGATAGGTGCAGTGTGTCTGTTGACGGTATAATTCAAAGGAATAATTATTTATACTGCCTTCAAAAAAACAATGTTTTTTTCAATCCCATTCAACTGAATACTTCAATGATTTGAAGAGTGAATGATTTGAATGCAATACGCCTATCGCACTAATATATGTAGATATATTGTTGTAGTTTTTCACATTTTTAGAGAGACTATTATCGCTGTCTGTTTCAAGTTGGGTTAGGTTAGGTTAGGTCAAAAGTAAATGGGGCTATTCGACCCTCCACCGCAACCCGCAAGGGATTATTGTGACTCACACCTAGTGAGACCCGACCAAATATACCCAGCTTCTTGACGAAGCCGATTAGTTTATGTGGTGAGTGATCTTTGAGGTCAGATGGTAAAACTGTGATTCTATCAAACTCTGAAAACCTGATTGGGTCTGCAGCAGGGCAGGCACAAAGCATATGCTCTGCTGTTTTATCATTTTCCAAACAGAGGCGACACACACTGTCTTACGACAGTCCGAGTCTGCATATGATGAATCAGTCGGGAGTCACTGAAAATCTTTGATTTGCAGTGTATGAATTCTTCAAAGAATGAGCTATTTTTTTAAGTGGCATTGATTGATTTCTTCAATGTCTTGTGTTTCTTTAACTCCTTAAATTTGCTTGATTGACGAAACAATAGTTTTCAAACGTATAATATAATTTGAAGACTGTGTTTTATTTCTTAGATTCATAACTGAAATATTTTTCCTCAAATCATTTCCATAATATATGTAAGTGATGTTTTGGTAATAGTAGATCGAAGTAGAATAAATAATTCAAATTCTAATTATAAAAAGATTCAGCAAAACTTAAATTCACTACGAACCAAACTGAAAAACGATAGTTAGTATGTAAAGTTAAGTTCTGGTGTAGAATATGAAGAAGCAAAGATTCCTCAAGATTGAAAACATTTAAGCAAGTTTTAACAGATGGAATAAATCCACAGTTATCGATATTAAGGAATGGTTCGAAATGGAACAGATGCCAATGTTTTACAAAGTTTTTTTTGTAAATGGTAAACATTCAGCATCACAGTCCAGGCAATTTGGTGCGGTTGAACAACTTCATTGTGGATAAGTTGGAATTGCACTTATCACCGGACAGAAAAATGAAACGAATATACCTGTAACAGCTATCATCTAAGAATCGGGTTCGGTCTACCAGCGTAGGATCTTCAAATCTTTCGATGATTTTCTCAAACTTTTCTGGCCACGTATATAAACAGGCTGTTCCGAAAAGAGCTAAGCCACCACCACCTAGAGCTACGTATCCTCGAGTTATCGATAACAAATCTTCATGTGTTTTCAGTGTTTCTACATATTTTTCGCTACAGTATTTGGTACATGATAAAAATGCCAAGTACTTTTTATTTTCCGCTCCTATATCGGATTGCAGGATTTCTCGACCTGAAAAACAAAACATATTGAGAATTACTTCACAAGTATTTTGTTGTTGTAATGAGTTCAATTTAGAGGATTACTGTTGAGATGCAAGCTAACAGATTTTCAACAGATTTTTTTAAAGTCGACAATAAATTAGCCATCTTTTGAAGCAAAGGTTTGACAATAAACACCTGCAATCTCCACTACAAACAGGAACTTAGATGAAATATTATACATGGTGCATTTATTGATTCTTCAAGGTTACCTTGGGCTGAACAAAAAATCAACGACACTTCTGATAGTAGAAAAACTTGATATATCTGGAACATTCACCTTGCTTGCGGATGACACTATGGTACTATGGCGTAATTAAGATTCTGATACTTTCACTTGGTCTATCCACTCAGATTTAAATAAAATAAAAAAATGGTGTGAATCGACTATGCATTCGCTAAATGTTTCTAAAACAAATTACTGATTTAAAAAAAATATCTTCTGATTGCTTTGCCATAAATGTCATATCTCGTGAACTCGGATTTTCAGCAGCAATAAATGCATACTATTCACTTATGTAGAGTCATCTCCGGTATGGAATTACTTTCTGGGGCTCAGACAGCCAGATTTTGATGTAGAGTGTATTAGTTATGCAGAAAAGAGTTTTGAGAATAATATCCAAATTGAAGATGCGTGACTCGTTTAGGCCACTTTTCTGCAGAAATAAAATATTTAACAATATTTGAAATATTCATTCTAAAGACTGCCTGCTTACTTCACAAACATAAGAAAAAGTTTGAAAGCCATACAGAAACGTCTTCGCGTAGCGATAAAAAACTCGCCCTTCCATTGCCCACATCATCTTTGACCAGACAGTGTCAAATCTATAGAAGTCGACAAATATATAATTATCTACCAAAACATATTACATCAGTAAAGAACCTTGTTTTGGGAAGGTGCTTCTACGGTTTGGAAGAGTATTTTGCATACAAATTCTAGTCTTTCGCTGTACCACGATGTATAAATATTACGATATATGTCAAGTAATTTCAAAATTGTGATGTTTTATTGATAACATATTTGTACATTGTTTCTTATCTTTTATATTTTTGATTGTTTTTTTTGTCTGTTATTTTCAATATTCACTGTATTTTTGTGAATACCATATAGTCTTTGAAAAATAACAACATTTCATATATTTTTAACATTTTATGTATTTATAAACAATGTATTGTATTTCAGACAATAAAGATCTATCTATCCTATTATTCCAGAAACCTCAAAACATAAATTCAATTGTACGCTAGTGTTAAACCCAGTATGAACATTTGCAGACAACACACCGAAATTAGATAACACAAAGCAGAGCAAACCATGACTAGAAACTACAGTCGAAAATAACACAAAAACTATCATCTCTAACTCTACCTCTATTACGTACCTATTAACAATCTTCTCCGGAAATTATCCGGCAAGACCCCTATTCGAAGGGGTGCAGCCCCGATGCGGGGTCCTCGACGACGTATTACGTAAAACATGATCCCAATTTAACAATACTTTAGTCTACGGGGAAGGTTACACAAGTCACAAGCACTAGGGGTTAGTCACTACATTAGGTCTTTTATGATAAAAAGGAACCGTTGGTTAGTTTCACCACCACATTGTTTACTGTTACACCTATCGAGTGGAAGTTCATGGTTTCTTTGTAAGTTGAGCATTGCAATGAATTTGAGACTATTCAACGTTTTATGATTCAGCATGCGGTTATCTGATAATTCAGCTAATTACACAACGTTGTCGTACAGGGTATTCTAAATAATACAGAACTGTGGGGAATAATTATATTCATTAGTATCATCAGTCCGAGGGCAATGATAATGAGATAATGTCGCTACAATTTTCAAAAGTACATTGCTTGGTAACGTATGCACGTTGGGTTCAGTTACCTGATGGTATAAACAAGACAAATACTATTGTTTTATTTTTTTTTTGGAGTGAATGAAAATGAAAAAATATTTCATTGGGAGTTCGGACCCCNCGGAAATACTCGAAATTTTCCAAGTTTGAATTAATTCAAATTCGACCCCACTTCTGTAGATAGATCATCTCCTAAATCATCTCCTGATCTACCTCAGTAATTGTTTCATGCAGTGTTTATTTTCAATTAAGAAAGTTGATCTCTGCACCATTATTAATTTGATATCGAACAAAAATAGCATTGCCATATAAAATATGTTTTATAAACTTCCTACTTACCAATATGTTCCCATAACTCCAGTTGACTCATATTTTCAGCATCAATATAATTCAATTTACTTCTGAATATTTGGCACTCACTTTCCAAACTGAAAGTTTTTCTGCCTAAGCCATGTTCATGAAGTTTTTCTGCAGTCACACATTGCAAAAGTTTTGAACCCAGAGTTATTCTTTGGCAGGCACTTTCAATACCGTTGTTTTCCCATGGTGGCGCTTGGAAACATCCATCATGCCCATCACATATCACATATAGAGGTATCACAGCATTTTCGCATGGTAGAGAAAAATATTCCAAAGAAATATCAATCGTTTCGCAGCAATACTTGATGGTAATTTGATTTTTACCTTTCCCAAGTTCTACTAAAAATTTAAATTTATTGTCCACCATATTTGCGGATAACTTTGTATTATTTTCCAAAGTCAGGTAAACATTTCTATCCGCTGGGATTTGGCACGATACGCTAGTAGCATATTGGACAGTTCCAATTATTTTGATTATCGGGTAAGTCACTGCTTCATTATTGCTAAAGTTGATCACCTTCACATTATGGTTGATTATAGACTGAAAGAAATATAACATTAACTAGTTTTAGACAAAACATGAATATGGTTTGAAAATAATTAAACCGGAAATTCGTAATGGAAAAACACCAAAACAATTTTCTTTAAACATAACCTAACTTCAAAGCCGTTTCACAATCAGAAATAAAACTAGGGAACTATATTCTGTATGTTAAATCTAAATAACACAACACAACAAAAAAATATTTTTTGAATGTTTCCTACACTAACTTAGTCAATTTCTACTAATTTTGGGGTGATAAAAACGAAAATAACAATGAAAAATTTTTATTAGCTCTGGTTTTTGAGATACACAGTACTTAATCTTAAAGAGTAGTTATATTATACGTGAAAAGTGAAAGTACATAAAACAATATTGTTATGTTTCTTTTAGAATATTTTAAGTACAAAATTAATAAAAAAAAANAACGTCATATTTCTTATAGTTACGGTTTCTGTATAATCTTATGCAAGCAACAACGCTGTTTCATCTAGCTGTCGATAGATGGTAGGGCATGTAATAAATTGTGGCAGTCTAATAAGATCAATAGAGTTTGTCAACTACATACTACAAAATAATGACAATTTATGTTACATCTCAGGAAAGTACTAAAAACTAAATTAATAAGAAGTCTTTGAAAATAATTTCGTGCTTTCTACTCATTTTCATTAAAGCACTCACCATTGTTGGTTATTTCCAACATTAAATTTTGCACTCTCAGTACTTGGCACTGGCAATAACACTGCCGCAAAGTGAATTCCATTTCAGTAAATGGCGCAATGGCGTCAAATTCGAGTGAGCAAGGAAACAAAAGAGATTACTTATTGATTCTAAACTTTGCGTTGCGACTTATGTGGAAGTTCATAATCAAAATTTCGACATGAGTAGTAGGGATGTGAACTATTTTTGAGAAGGTGTTGAAAATCAGGTATATGTACTAAAATTGTCCAAAATATTTTTAATACTTTTTTAACGCAACGATTACTTGAAAAATCATGTAAGTATGTAAAATATTAATAATTGTGTCGTGATCGTTGTGACGTCAGATGTTCCCAAATACTGAAAAAGTTAATGCGATATAGTTTCTTCGTGATTTTTTAAATGAAAGATGAGTTGCGAATTTCTGAATGCTAACTTTTTAGTTCACACCAAGAAGGTACTGCCTGAATTCAAAATATTTTTCACAAAAAAGAATGTTCTATTGTGGAAATAAAATAAAAAAAGGTAGACAGACATCTGAAAAAAATTTTTCAAGTCCACGTATGGAAAATTATTGAGAAAGTTGGTTTCAGCTAGCCTAGGGGATCTAACTTACATGAATCATCTATCATAATGCTTGCATAATTTATGCTTCGGCATACGGTGTAAAACAACGGCCTGAGGTTGGCACTTGGAGCCTTAGAATCATCCTCCAAGAAAGTCTTTATAGTGAATATATGTCGAAACATAGTCACAGAACAGAATAAACTCAAATCTGAAGATATGAACTTTAAATGTAGGTTGAATGGACTGACGCATATCAGAAAACAACTACTCCACTGACTAATACCACGAACGGAGTTGGATTATATCTGACAGGCGTCAGTGCAGGAATATTGACAGAAAATTTTCTGCATATGCAATTGGCAATACAACTGAAAGAGTTGACCTTCAATTTTGGAACGGGCACACTTGCAGACCGGTTCCGGGCTTCTTAGCCACTCGTCAGTGCAAGATAGTGACCATCACCAACCTGAAGTCAATGATATTCCATAATTGAAAATCAAAATTCTTTTAGAGTATTTCATTTCTCGTGCTAAGTTGGAGCGAACATCAAAAATGTCACCCCATCTAGTGAATGCGGTACTAACCAACTGCATATCCGAAATTTGTATTTTCTTCATTCTAAACCCCCGACGCAAAAAAGGTGTGTTGTAAGTTTGACTTGTGTATTTGTATATCTGTGTATATGTCTGTGGTACTGTAGCTTCTGTACTAGTCGACCGATTTTGATGCGGTTCTTTTATTCAATAGCTCATTTTGTCGGGATGATTCATAGATATACTTCATGAAAACCGCTTGAGCGGTTCAAGTGTTTCTAAGATTATGAAGAGGAATTATGCATTCAATAAATAACATTTCAATTTTGACTTGATGCTGCAACCAAAACAGTCTTCCAAGGACCGATTCCTCATTTTGAAGGTCTCAATGAGTATATAGTCGCAGGGTCAGTGACACTGACTGGAGTTTTGATACGGTGACCTATACATGATGTTTTTTTATTGCTTCGAAGTTGTTTATTTTGTAAATTTTGTTGTTTGATGTTCCACCAAAGTACATTACTAAAAATTTTGGTGTTCCTCAATGAATAAAAACATCAAGTGTTTATTTTCATTTTATAAACCTTTTTTCTTGCACCATCAGAGGGCCTCACAGAATGTACTTTGCCCACAATAAATTTAGGCCTTGCGCCGCCACTGCTCATTTTGGATGCATCAAGAGAAAGATCAGTTTGATCTTCCTCTTGAAGATGATCACTTGGTGACCGGAACACGTGTCGAGGTGTTAAAATAACGGTTTGATCTTCTTCAAGAGGATGATCAAGAGAAAGATCAGTTTGATCTTCCTCTTGAAGATGATCACTTGGTGACCGGAACACGTGTCGAGGTGTTAAAATAACGGTTTGCTATTGGGAAAAAACTCTAGTAGAATTTATTATTTCTCTGATGAATCTCTTTACAAAAACAGCAAAATTAGACTACTTAAATTTTATTCAATACCTAATAACTCAAAATTAAAACGCTACAAAAGCCGCTGTATATCAAGGTTCGTGTGGATGCATGCAATAACTGCAGTTGGATTACATGACCGTTTGTGACTTTCGATGTTCTCCAGATATATGAAGGAAAACCCTGCCATTCAGAAGGGATATTCGTTATTGATATTGCTTAGACGTTGAAGAAGATTCACCATCGCACTTTCCACTGAATTTTATATTTTAGGTTTTCCTTCATATTAGCGAAATATTCGTTTTATCTGCCAATCTAGATCACAAATTATTGAAAATTCCATGTGAAATTGCATTGAGAGCCAAAACCAGTATTCGATTACATTTCGTATGTACAATATGACAATCATTTTCAAAATTGGTTGATAACGTTTGTTGAACTTTCACTTGGAATTAGGTGAGTTCCACAGTCAGCAAGTTCGTTGACCCCTCTGGTGAATGAGTTAAATAATTTTGGGTATACCTTCATCCAAAGTGTAATGTACGATTACCCATCTGATCATTCCGTGAGATTGATAAGTCATTGAAGTTCATTGAACTAGATTATAATGAATTTTCATGCGTACAATGAAATGAACGTGGAAAGAAAGTTACACTTGATATTATGTCAACACCTTTCGCGTTTGTCTTACCTGAATAATCAATAAACTGAATTTCAAGTAACATAAATGTTCATTTGATTATCGAATTTTAATAAATTGTACATAGACCTAATAAGGTACATTTGAAACGGAAATACATGTTATTGAAAGACGGTGTCATCTTCTCTTACCAAAACGCCATCTAAGGAATCAACAGAAAATTCAGATCACAAAAATCAATGATAAACGAGGCTTCCATAGGGGGTCAGTTGTAAAGCAGGACTTAGACCTCTAACACCAAATGAGATTTGTCCTCTGTCTTTCTCTGCAGCTTGCTGGTGTGCCTAATCATATTTTGCAGATCTACATTTCAGAAAAATGAAGAGTATTCGAACAACTATGTTTACAGATTATGCTCCACCAGAATTATCAAACTGAAGCTCGTTTAAGAAAGTCTGGACTGATTTTTTTCAGAACACCGTGAACTTTCAGTCTGTAAACACTACAAGACAAATTTCTTCGTTTTCCACTGGGCAAATCAGTTCAAACTATTCATCTCTGCTCATAATACTTCAAGAAGCTAGTTTTGCTCAATAGTTTCTCTAGCTTTAGAAGAAGCAACAATAATATTTCAACGGGTTCCAATACCAGTGTGTATTTGGTAAGTGTTCGTCCAGTCTGAATATAAATTTTTCTTTTTCGATTCGCATATTGAAAACGGCGATGACGTTTCTCGTTGAGGGACATCTTTCATCTATGGAATGGGCAGAAGACCCATTGCTTGAATACCAAAGAAAAATCAAGCTCCCAAAGCCAGTCTGTTACAAAGCCAAGTTTCGACAGAGCACGCTGAATGAGAACCGTCTCCTGTCTTCTACTGCAGCTTTCACTGCAAAGCAACTAACTGAATCTAGAGCCAAAAAACAAACCATTTATGATACAACACGAAGCTGTCATACTCAATTATTCAGGAGAGAGCATGACTTATACATCATCTATGGAGTCGAACAGAAGACTCATTTCTCGAATATCAAAGATAAACAATGCTTTCAAAGACGGTCTGGTGCAGAGCAAAGCTTCGAGATCCACCGCCGACACCAGACAGCAGACGTCTGATGTCAGTGAAAGCTGCAGTGAAAAACAACGGAGGAATATCGTTCGGAGGGCCTCTTTTCTTTTGTTAATTTCTATATTCGAAAAATGAGCCTTCCGTCGATCCTGTAGATGATGTGTTCATAACGGGAGGTTTCATTGCCGTTTCCTACTAAGGATTGTCCTTTAAGGGCAATTGATGTCAACAACGCATTCGTGGTCCATCTTAGTATTACAGATGAGATCTATGTAAAGTCGAAACAGTTCTACCTGATTTTGGACCACGAATTCTCTGTTTCTGGGCTCTGACTTCAGCATTTTGAATATTGTCTGAAAATACAATATTTGTTATTTTTGTAGCTTAAGCTCCTCCTCAGCACACTGGTCAAGTTATGAATCTTATTAAGTTAATAAGGCTGCAGAGAATCTATTCGACCTTCCAAGTATTCACACTCGACTAAAGGAATCCAGCTTCTTAACGAAGCCGATTAGTTTATTTGGTTAGTAATTTTTCAAGTCAGATAGTAAGAGTGCGGCTCTGCCAAACTCTGATTCGGTTCGCAACGGGGCAGGCACAAAGTATGGGCTCCGCATTTTCCAAACAGAGGCGACAGCCACTGTCTTCCGACAGCACGAGTCTCTGCATATGATGTTTCAGACGACAGTGACCTGTCAGAAGGCCTATTAGACATCGTAGTTCATCCCCACTGTAGTACACCAACTGTTTGGTTTCAAGAGTGAATGAACGCCTTGAATTGTTTGGTTTCAAACTTCGAAGAGTGAATGAACGCCTTGGAGTGAGCCAATCCTGGTAGACTTTGCCGAAAGTTCATACATCTTCAACATTTGTTTGGCAAAGCATTGGAGCATCGTTAATGACAGGTTCTGGTCCAATGAAGCTACTTGCAGCACACTCCTTTGCAAGAGAGTCAGCAGAATCATTGTCTCCCAGGCCAGTATGGCCAGAAATCCAGACCAGAGACAATATGTCAAGTCTTCCTTATAGGAGGAGTTGTTTTTGACAATTTGCTACCAATTTAGATGTTGCTTGGTAGGAGCCAAGAGCTTGCAACGCCGCTTGACTGTCCGAGAATATTTTTATCGACTTGTGTATGAGGTTGAATTCTACCAATCTCTCCGCACATAATTCAATAGCATACATTTCCGCTTGAAATACAGTTGTATAGGTCCCTAGGTAGGTTGATATCTCTGTCCTTAGTCTGCGACTGCACCAGAACCTGGAGGTGTTTTTGTTCCATCTGCGAATCAACTCTATCTCTATCTACTCTGAATATTTTCTTCAACTGGAGAATCCAGTCCTCT